GGCTGATGCACAGTGCATGGTACGCCATGCATGGCGCACATTGAATGGATGCATGGTGCACAGTGCATGGTGCACGATGCACAGTGCGTGGTGCATGATGCACAGTGCGTGGTACACCATGCATGGTGCACGTTGCACGGGTGCGTGGTGCACGTTGCATAGGTGCGTGGTGCGCGTTGCATAGGTGCATGGTGCACAGTGCATGGGTGCATGGTGCCCAGTACGTGTGTACGTGGTGCATGGTGCACATTGCACAAGTTCATGGTGCGCGATGCATGGTGTGTGGGTAGATGGTGCATGGTACACGGTGCATGACACCAATCCCCCACCCTTCATACCATGCCCAGGCACCCGGGCTGGAGCTTGCGGTGCTGCCCAAGCAGCTGTGCAGCCCTCAGCATCAAGATTTCCCCCCCAAAACCCTCAAATCTGTGCCCCCCTGCACCCCCCGGAGCAGCAAACTACATTTGCTGCCCTCAGCATCAAGATTTCCCCCCCAAAACCCTCAAATCTGTGCCCCCCTGCACCCCCGGGAGCAGCCAACTACATTTGCTCCCTTATTCCAGCAGAGCCAGGATGTGCCCCCCTCCCCCCCCTCCCAGCAGCCGCTAATCGGATCACACGGACCGTTAGGCAAAAATGAGGCGTGGGCGAAACCGGGGTGCTGGGAAAGCCCAGGGGCGTCGCGGGCGGTGGGTATAAAGCGCCCGCGCACGCCGGGCACCCACAGCACCGTGTTCGGCACCACCCGCTGCCCCCGCTCGCCCCATGGCCTCCTCGCTGGAGCAGGCGCTGACCACCATGGTCTGCACCTTCCACAAGTACTCGGGCCGCGAGGGCGACAAGTACAAGCTCAGCAAGGCCGAGCTCAAGGAGCTGCTCAACAAGGAGCTGCCCGTCTTCGGGAGCGTGAGTGTCCCCTTCCCGCCGGGATAACCCCTGCGCTCCCCGCGCTGCCTCGTGAAATGGTCAGGAGCCCCATTGGGATGGAGGGATGGGAGGAACTGAGGCCCTGGGAGGAGGCAGAGCAGGAAGAAGAGTGGGAGGAAGAGAGGGAGGAAGAGCAGAGTCCCTGGGCAGCAACAGGCCTATGTGGGAAGGAAGCTCGGCTCTTCTCAAACCCACAAATCCCCCTAGAAATATTCTGATTGACGGAAAAACACAAAAGTTCTCCCATTTCACCCCCTCCTCCCCCACACTTTACTTCCATTTTTTGGCACTTCCCCTTGTGGTTTCCAGCTCCAGCCGTGCTGGGGGGCGAAGCTGCGGAGATTTCCTAGCAGGGCAGACGATGCTCCCAGTCCCCGGCCCGGCCGCGCTCGCCCCTCTCGCACCCTCCTTGCAGGTTTTGGGACCCGGGGGTGGTGGTGGGGAACCGGCCCCATTTTGGGTGCACTGCAGGGGGTGGGAGGCGCTGAGCTGCTCCGCTCTGCCCCTCGCAGAAGCAGATGGATGAGGCCGAGTTCCGCAGGATCATGAACGACCTGGACCACAACAAGGACAGCGAGTTGGACTTCCAGGAGTTCGCCTGCTTCATGGCCTGCGTGGCCATGGGCTTCAACGAGTTCTTCAAGGGCTGCCCGGCCCCGCAGCCCCGCAAGAAGTGAGCGCGGCCCCCACGGCCCCCGCGGGCAGCCGCTATAGAAATAAAAGCGTTGA